ATAAGCTTTCCATTGATTAACACATTTTAGATATTTTGAATATAATCATATTATACTAGATCATTGTGGTTGATTTATTTTACTGAGAATAATAAAAATCGAAATAAGTATTCTACTTCATATCAAGGATGAAAATAGAACCAAGGCCAAACAATTAATTGATAAGACCATATACTTAACTATGTAGTATGCAATTCTTATTCTTCAAAGTGGAGCTATCATACTAGGATTATAGATGTACATTGGAATCCATTCAAATCTTATGTTTTTATATTCTGTACTTGGGTTCTAATAAATACCTGTTCAGTTAACGAAGGTCGCCAGCCGTGCAGAATTAATTCTCTTGCATGATCACGTTTATTTCGACTGAATGGATGATTTAATGATAAACATTCATACATAAGCATGGAAAATGAAAATATATCGGCCTTTAGAAAAAAAAACAAAATCAAATATATTTTATCCATAAAATTATACAAACTTTTTCAGTATATAATTCATCGCCGGTAAATCGAACTATTTCTGGAGCAATATATCCTAAAAGAATTAATGAAATAGAAACTGTTTTTGTTTTCAAACATTTTTCTTACCTTCAGTACCAGCAAAACCTTTTGTACCTAAACAACAACAAAAAAAGAAGAAATCAAATTGAATAAATAATTAATAAAAATCTTACCAATCGGTGATAAAACTCGACTAATACTAAAATCTGATAATTTAACAAGTACTTGTCCATTTGAAGGTAAACGTGGTTGTGGCATATTCCAAACAAGAATATTTTCTGATTTAAGATCAAGATAAATTATATGATTTGTATGTAAATGAGCAATTGCATTCGCTACCTAAATTTATATATTAATAATTAAAATATCGAATAGAAAAATAAACAAACTTGTGTAATTAATTTTTGATAAACAGTTAAACCAAGTTGAGTATTTGTTCGTTTATATTCTTTTAATATTGATTCAAGTGATCCCATCGGAGCATAATGTAAAATTAAACTTAATGGATGTGTACATAAACCAATAAGTGGAACTATATTTGGATGTGAACCAGTTGTTAATAGACATGAAAGTTCTTGTCGACAAGTTATATAAGCTTTACTAGCAGCACGTATTGGATTTCGAATCCATTCTTTGGCAATATCACGCTAAAATATTAAAAAATAGAACTTTAGTTTCCAATTATTTAATAACAGGGGTGTAGCGAGGTCTTCAAGGCACGAGGGCGTGACACCCCGCGTGCCCCTTAGTCTTTACGCTCCTGTTTAATAATTACCAAAGATAATTTTTTTTCAGATTCATCATCTTTATTTCCACTATGTATTTGATCCATTAGACCGCTGGTTATTGAAGGATCAATTGGTACAAAAGTTTTACAAGCAAGATCTAAACCCGACTAAACACAGATATAAATTATATATAATGAATAAGAATTTCGTAGAAATTTTTACTTTATAGGATGTTGTCGCAAACACTGTACCAAATGTGCCTTGTCCAAGAAGTTTTTTTAATTTAATTGCTTCAAATGATATAAGAAAATTATTCATTGATAAATCTAAAAAAATCTAGAGCAAAAATCGTTTTATATTGAAAGTTTAAAAACAAAATACTAACTAAATCAGGTGCAATAGCTTCTAATGAAATTTCTCCATGTTTTTCACATTTAACTTCCATTTTTTTTTCAATTAACATCATTAATGCTTCTAACCAGAATGTGTGACAAAGAAATTTTTCTGGTGAATTATTTTCAATCAAACATTGATGGCAAGGAATAAAACGATTCACTAAATAATCACCTTTGGAATTTTGAACAAATCGTGTACCCATTTCAGGATACCAATCTTCTAATAAAGTATCAAAATGTGCCATTAATATTGTTAATATATGTGCAATTGTATTTTGTTGTACGATTAATTCAATAACGTATGGATTTGAATCTTTATTATCATCAATAACCATTTGTAAATCACTTGTGCAGATTAAAATTTCAATTAATGAACCTTGATCATTAAAAGGTAAAATCTGTTTTTTTTGTTCTTCATCTGTGTCAAACTGAAAAATCATATTTAAATATGAATATGATATATCATCATCGATTGTTGATGATGTTAAATTAATTTGATTAATTCGTAAAAGACAACAATCATAATAACGAAGTTCTAAACCTGTTTGACAAACAATCCATGAACATTCAGCTAGAAGAATATTTTTTATTTTTTCATTTGAATTATTTAACTGTAAATCAACAAGAAAATAATTTGTAAATGCTTTTTGTAATTGTTTATCTCCAATTAAACGTGTAAATAAACGTGACCAAAAACAAGTTGGAATAAAAATTAAATGATAAAAACGACGAATATATGAAAATGATTGATTATTATCATTATCTTTTTTTATACGTGCTAAATATTTTAAATGTAATGAAGTTGATGGAGATGAATTTTCAGCTGGTAAAATATTCAAAGTTTCTTGTTGATTTGAAGTTTGTTTAAATTGTATAACACTTGATGTCGAAATAATTGATGCACGACAATGACTTGACTGAAGAAAAAAAAAGAATAAAGAAAATTATTCGGAAATAATAATAAAATATTTACAATTGTATTTAGACTTAATTGAACTGGAAGTAATGATGGAAATATAACATGTTGATTATCCCATGTAATTGCAAGATCAAATTTTTGTAGTAAAGGAAGAAGCATGGATATACTATTGACTACAGAAGTATTTGCATCTTGAAATGTAATAGGTAATTCATCAATTTTCATAAGTCCTAAATATAGATTATTGATTAGTAAATTGTAAATAGAACGACAATGTCTCTCAATTACTAAACAAATTCATGCCAAGCAGTATAAATGATACTAATTATGAATTTTTTCTTATTTCTAGTGGATAGAGAAAAGAAGAATGGTCGACTTCCCAGGTCAAAAAATCTTACAAGAATCTGACAAAAAATCGTGATTCCTGAAATCTTGTATTAAGTCATACCGCGTTTTTCTTAAAATATCTTACGTGCATTGTATTTTCTTAGTAATAATTTTAAGTGAGATTTTGAAAAAATATTAATTTTAGTAGAATATTATGGTGGCATTGTACTGCATAAGAATCTGATAACAGTTTTTATAGTACGAACTAGTGCAATCAATCAGGAATCACGATTTTTTGTATGATCCTTGTCTGACTTCATCCGATCATATATGATCAGAGATACGATTCTTAGAAGATCTTGCTATCTGATTGCTCGACCTGAGTTCAACTATCTTTGACGATGAGATCCAATTAGAAAGATTCTCTACTCATGTAATCAGTACACTACAGTAACTTATCATGACGGATGAGAAAGGTTTCTATTTAAATTGATAGCAGCATGTTGAGATAACTAATCTTTATATTCTTGTCATATTTTGTGAAACGCGTGTAAGTTTTTCGGCTTCCCTCATTACATACCTTAGCAATCGATATCACAGAATGTCTTAAAATTATTAGGTATGACTAAGAATATTCTGGAATGAGGATGTAGATGTAAATGACTGGTTAATACATCACACACTCTCAAGATTTATTTAAAAATTTTTAACTGACTTCTCAACAGCTATATCAAATCCGTTTTAAAGAGGAAAAAATGAATTTCTTGCATGTTATAATTACATAATACTTTAGTTAAAAAATAATCTAACTATGTTTACATCTTACCATGTCTTGAAAGACCATTTGTTTGTTCATTAGCAACTAATTGTGCTAATAATTCTGCAAGATATTGTGGATCAAGAAAATAATAATTCGATAATAAAGTATCTTCGAAATGTATAATTATTCCTAGAAAATTTTTATTTATTAAATTCTCTAATCTTTTTTTTTCAATTTACCATTTTCATGTAACCATTTTGTAGCTTGTTGAATATCAGCTGAATCACGAAATTGAACATGATTTATTCGTTGTGATATTTCTTTAATTAATTCTCTAAAACAATTTCGTATATTCTTTTTTTCTATTAATATAAAAACAAAATCTCTTACTGATATTCTTTATCATTTAATATAGAAATTTTTTTATTTAATCGGTATTCTTCTAATAATTCTTCCAAATAAATATATTTTGCTGGTATTCTTTGTTGAAATATAGTTTGATCTTTACTATTTGGAACTAATAATTGTCCAGCAATATCATGAATTAATGTACAAAGTTGTTTGATATTATGACCTGTTTTATTACTAATTTCAAGTGAATCAAGTACTTTTGGGTAACCTAATTTTTCATTTTGTGATGTATCAATAAATTTTTGATAGATAAGTGATTGAAAATTTTCTGATAATTGACGATAATTTTTTAATTTAACTATTTGATCATGATGTGTACCAACAATAATAACAGATGAGCCAGGTGCAACAGTCTATTGAACAAAAGAAGAAGAAAAAAACTAATAATAATCTGAGAAGTTCGTCTTTTTTTTCACTGCTTCTCTTATGTTTGATTATACAAGCTGGTGTTATTATTTTGCAACAGATGCTGTTATAAATATATATATTAATCATTGACTAGTAGAATGTGACATTTGTAATTGAGCTTCTTAGCTCTATAGAATCTTTTCAATTGTACTTAATTATAAAGTTTGTTTCTTTTAATAGACTCAACTGGGTAGTAGTATTTATTATTGTGAAAAGGTGACGCATTCTCTTTTTCTTCGTCATTCATCGTACTTTTACATACGTATATAAAAAAAACGACAAGAAATAAAGCAATAATTACATAAAAAAAAGAGAAAAACGAGGGGTTGTACTGTAAATGTGACATTTCAACTTTGTTATACTTTATATTCAACACTCAAACGACAAAAAACCCAAAATTCAATATTTTATTTTTATGGCGACGACTATTGCACCATTAAAGTAATCTTCAAATACCATCGATCGTATGTTATTTCTTTTTCTTTTTATTATACACTCTTTTATTCTTATTATTAGTTAATTTTAGATTCGAATCAACATAAAGAACAAATGTATGCTGTTCCTGTTAAATTTGCCGATGATTTATTTAGTACAGTATGTATTTAATTGAAAGAAGAAAAAAACTTTCTATTTTATTTTAGATTGTTAAAGATCAAATAAATGAATTAATTAATTTACCAGAAATTAAAGAACTTCAATATACAGACGATGCTGCTATTCAAGGATTAACATATGAAATAACTGAACTATTAAAACGAATTGTTGCTCGACATATTAAAGATAATTATAAAGTAATTATTCAAGTAATAACATATCCAAAAAATGAAGAAGATAAAGTTTTCATAATGAGTCAATGTTTATGGAATTATCGAACTGATGATGTACTTTCATTGGAAATTGAAAATGATACATTAAAATTTCTTATTATGATTCATGGTATTGTAGCATAAGAGTATATTTATCTTATAGGAATAAAATAATAGAAAAAAAACAACAACTTACTTGAATATTTATTAAAATATTATGGATTGTTTCAAAGATTTGTTCATTCATATCATATTCAGTCATTTTCCAACAGATTATATAAAGTGTACGTCGAGTAAAAAAATATTGATAAACTGATTGGAATTCTTGCTAAATAAAAGAAAACAAATTTTCTTTTCATATATACATAAATAGTATAATTACTTCTCCACCAAAATCCCAAATACGAAATGTAACTGGACCTAATGATGTACGAGGTGTTTTGTCATATATCCATTCTGATATATCAAGAATTGGAAAATTACGTGTTGTTGTAGATTTCTAAAAATTAAATCATTACAAATAATCATTTCTTACATCAATCAAATTAAGTTAGAAGATATCATGAGTATAACAGTAAAGATGTCGATTAGAAAATGTTCTTTTCTTACTAATCTTATTCTAATCGTCTTTAGAATTTACGATTACTCATAACAATCGTTCAGTTGACAAGTAACTAACTTTGTCCTCTAATAGTCTTAATTATGCGCATATTATGAAACAAGTTTTTTGAATTATAAATTTCAATGAAATCCACTATTACTCTCTTATTTGCTTGCAAAACTAAATATACGATCCTCGACTCCTGTTTTATCTGAAATAAATAGTCAATCTCAAACTTTTACATATAAATAAATGCAAATCATTCAAGTTCTTTCTTTTCATAAGATTAATTCTCTTGAAAAAATCTATTTTTTTCCATTTACTTTTCGTTGATTTTGTTGAGCATTATTCATATTCGAACTTTCTCGTTTAAAAGCTTGTAATAATGATGTTTTGCCTGTTTGTTCATTTCCAAGTAACATTAATCTCATTTTATTGTATATTTTTGTACTAAATATATAATTAATGGAATAATAATAAATTTTTAGTTAAAAACTTACTCATCACATAGACTTTTCATATAAGCAATAATTTCAGCTGTTCGATAATTATTTGCAATAAAAGAAGATATTGGTTCTTTAGTTATATCAATCATCCCTGTTGATTGTTGTGTACCAAGCATTTTCTAAATGAATTATGTTATCTAAAAGAATAGAATTGTCTAATATTATTCAAGATGTATATTGCACAAATGATTGTATATATGTTTATTATTTGTTTTTACAATAAATTATGAAAACAAAAGAGATAAACTCTGTTATAAGAATAGAATCATTAAATAAACCCTTTTTATAATACAATATATACTTATCATAATAACTAAAACGTTTTTTTTTTCGTTAATAAATACTGCTAGGATAGTAATGAAAATGTCAATAAACTTAGTTTATCTATCAAATAATATTTGATTTTTAGTTATTATGATAAGATATATCTTAACTAAATTTGTTATCTTTTAATAACTCGACCACAACCATGAAGATCAAGATTCCATAGTTTTTGCATAGAACCAATCGATAATGGAATCTAAAGTAAAATATTTTCATATTATAGTCAACAAAAAATATTCTATCTAACTTCTTTTAACTGTTGATTATCACGTAATATTAATGTTCCTAGACTATCCAGTAGAGAAATACTAGTTGGAATTGAAACAAGTTTATTTTGACTTAAATTAAGGCGAGTAATTGCTGGAAATAATAACGAAGAACGTAATACTGTTATATCCATATCAGATGTAAGTTTTGAGTCTGACTGAAAATAATTAATTAGAAAAATTAATTTGAATAAAAATAAGTATTTTCTTACTAATAAAATAAGTTCATCAATAAGATTATCACTTAAATTTAAATCGTGCAAAAATTCAAGTTTTATATGACGCTTATGATTACAACATTGATCTGTATGTTCTGATTTTGATGATGAATTCATTCCAATTGTTAGACTAGTTGATGTAAGAATTTTATGACGAGATACTGATCGACTTCGACGTCTTTTAGCAGCATCTAATTGTGCACTTGATTCTTTTAATTCTGGACGAAAACAAATATTTTCCGATGGTATCGTTTCATCATGACGATTCTTTCGAGATAATTTTTCTTTTCGGGGTGTATTTGATGATGATTTCGATAGAATACTATGTTGAAGACGATTAAATGATAAATCAAGCATTTTTAAACGTGGAGGATATGATGATATTGTTGATGGATCAGTAAGAAGATTGTGAGAAAGATTTAGAGATGTCAAATATGGTACAAGACAACAAAGCATTGGTGGTAGAATTTCAAAATGATTATAAGATAAATTTAAATTATTTAATCGACTCCTTGTTTGTGTAGATGATGACGACGATGATGATGATGATGTTGATTTAATATTTGTTGCTGGTTGTTGATCATCATCAGTCAATTGAGTTATATGATTTTGCCAAAGACATAAACGTTTTACAGGAATAGATAATGGTGCAGATGGAAGAGAATTTTCATAGGCCATTTTTAGCTTTGATCGTCGTTCAAGTTCATCATCATCATCAGGAGATGGTGGCATATCATTTGTTGATATTTGAGCAAATGTTGTTGAACGTGGTGGAGCTGATAAAGGAGCAGAAAGAAGAGATAAATTAGCTGTTGTCATTGAAGATGATATTGTTGGAGATTTTATTTCATCAAAATTTTGTTTAGTTGGAGATCTTAATATAATTTGTGGACGTAATTCACTAGCTGTTCGATTTTGATTACCTGAATGTCGAGCTAATAAAAGAAACAAAAATAGTATTTGTTAATCGAATATTTTTTATTTTTAAATATACATGTCATATGTCGTCCGACTTTTTCAGTATGTCTAACAGAAACAACACTTGGTGCTGGAAGTTCTTTTAAAGAATTATTGGCAACATTTAAATCAGTTAACATTGGTGCTGACCACATTTCAACAGGTAAATATTGAAGTTGATTATGAGCTAAAATAGATAACAATGGAATTTTATATTATTCTGAGTGGTTGCAAGAAATAATTCAATGAAATCGTTTCATTAGTGTAAATAGTTAATTGACATCATAGTATTTTTTGTTCATGTGATTTTGTCCGTGACTAACTTATTGTCCATATTTCTCAAACAATTTTGATAATAATCATATTAGAATTGATCTTTACTATGAATGAGAGTCTATTAAATATAAAACTTTTGTATTTAGATCTGACAAGTACTAATCATTGATGAACATTATCTAGAAACTAGTAGTAGGTATTTCCTAATTTAAGTTTTCATAATTATTGAAATATTAAAAATAATTTCTTTTTCTATGATTATACAATATGACATATCAATAGTTTCTTAATCATAGAGTTTATATTGATTGTTTTACATGTTATAAGTACAAAAGAATGATCGATTACATTCGATACTTAAACAATAGACATACAGGAAACGGAAAAATAATCCATTGATGCTTTTCAATGGACTTCCATAACATTAACAAAACTATTCTTTTGTAGTATCATGTCACTTAATGTAATCGATAATGATATAGAACAAAGCTAAGTAAAACAATACGGAAGTTACACTTAGTTCTAATATCATCAATATATAAAGTAGACAAGTGTTGATATGATAATTGACTATGTCTCACTTAACTATGTATTTATTTACCTGCATAAGCTCTTTGTAAAGATCGAAGTTGAAACATAGCTGATGGTAAACAAGTTAAAGCATTATGTGAAACATCTAATTCAACTAATTGATGACATAACCAAACATTATTATCATTTGGTAATTCTCCTAATTGATTATTTGATACATTTAATATTCTTAATGAATACATTTGAAAAAGAAATCCTGGTAAATATTCTAATGAATTATCTGATAAATCAATGCGTGTTATACAATGTAAAAGTAAATGACGATTTGTTGTTGTGATATCTGATAATTGTGTAAAACTATCTTTATTAACAAATATTGATGCTTGAATAAACCATAGAGGATCAAGAGTTTTCAATGGACCATAATGATGCCATTGAATACCAACTGGTACTGATGGAATAGGTGATGATAATGGTATATGATTCGTTGTTAAAACTGAACGTGTTGTAAAACGATTTTTAATTTGTTCAAAACCAGTTGTTAATATTTGATATCGTTTAGTTGAACGTCGTTTAAACATAGGTTCTATAGAATAATTCGTTTCGGCGGATATATTATTATTATTATCAAGTTTGTTTTCATCATTGTTATTTATCCAAATTTTAGTTAAATCAATATTTGACCAAAATTGTTCATCAAATGAATATAAAACATTTGATGTTAATTGTCGTTTTGTTAATTTAAATTCATTATCTTGTAAAACACGATATTTAAGTAAATGTCCAATAAGATATGATTGTTTACATGAATTATATGCAAGAAATTCTTTATCAGTTGCATGAGAATTAAGAAGATATTCAATTAATTGTATATTACCAAGACGACATGCACATGATAATGATGTTGAACGTGTTATAAAACATTGTTCATCATTTGATGATCGACTTGTAATTTCTTCATATGGTAAATTAACATTAGCACCGTTTGATATAAGTAAATGAACTAATTGAAAATTTTCTTGTTCAATTGCTTCATGTAAGGCTGTTCGACCATTATTCGAATAAATATCAAGATTAAATGGACAAAATGGTGAACTAAGTTTTTGTAAAGTTGTATTAAATTCTGATAGAGTTACTATAGAATCTACAAAAGAAAGTAATTTGAATTATCTATTTAAAAACGATATATGTATACTAACGTTCAGAAGTAAAATAACTATGTATTGATCGACGTTTGAAAAGTTCAACTTCTTCAGAAGTTAATCCATAAACACGAAAGGAAAGAAGATATTCAACAACATCAATATGTTTACCAAGTACAGATAAATATAAACTTGTTTGATCATTCAAATCTTGCGCTAAATAAAATTCTTATATATACATAACAAGTCTTCATTTATTCTTTATATAGAAACTTAATCTGAGATATTGTAATATAGCTTACAGATATATTAAAATAAGTATTATACGACATATTAATCCATGTAATCAAAAAAGTGTATAGTAACAATATGCAATTGATACTATTCATTAAGTTTAAAACTTCATAGTTATAATGTTTTGTTAGAAAAAAAGAAGTCTTGTTTATTTTTGAAAGTTTAACTGAGTATCTCTAATTAGATGGAATGGATATGTAAATATTAGTAGGATGCAAAATTGAGAAGGATCAGTTATCAGCATGGAGTGTTGCTACAATCAGAAAACTACTATCATCGCTATATTCTTAGGTCCGTCAGACAGAGTCATTACTGCTAGAATTCGATTGAATCATATAAACAAATTCAATAAGAATCAATACATTCGGACAAAATTAAATCTCAGTTTTGTAGAATAATAATGATTGAATAAGCTACAATTATAATTCACTCATAAATTTTATTCTCCTGAGCTTCCATACTATAAATTTGTAACACTATACTTTGTTTTAAATTAAATCATTCCGTAACTTGACTCAAGCATTCGGAATAATTGAATTAAAACAGCAAAATCAATTATTACCATTGAGATTAAATGGAAAAACATATGATCGTTGTAAGCGATCAACATAAATACTACATGATGCAAATGGATAATTTGGATATGTTAATAAAAGTTGTACAATAGATAGATGACCTTGTGAACAAGCAGCAGAAAATGGAAGAATTTGTTCGAGTGTTGCAACACAAACTAAATGTGGAAAATGCTAAAAAAACAAAAAGAAAAATGAATAAAAAAAAGAAAAATGAATAAAAAAAAGAAACCAGTTATATATTTTTTCTTACAGTTAAAATCATTTGAACAATTTCAAGATTTCCAATTCGACAAGCTATATAAAGTGGAGAATAAGATGTTTGACGATGTGGTTTTGCAATTGCACCATGCTTTAATAATAATTTAACTAAATCAACATTTCCTGTTCGACATGCTCGATATAAAAAATTCAATGTATCACTTCCATTTGGACTTGAATTTAATACTGCTTTAGCATGTGCACCCAAATGAGCAAGACATTCTTCTGCTTTTTCAACATCACCATCAAAACAAGCATCAAGTAATTCTAAATCA